TGTTAAGAGTATTTTTGCCTTGTATGTGTGCATCAGATATTTTTGTTTTCTTCTGTTATAAAATATAAGATGTAAACAGGGCTAGTAGTATTCGGTTGTATGTGTGTTCCTTATATCATGTTAGGCATAAGTACATCTTTATAATTTTCTTTATTCAGAGCCTGTGCATGGTTTAAGGAGATATGTACAGGTGCCAAGTTGACAAGGGGTGGACTCTGATCGTTAAAGTTGTATGTCAACTTGGGTGGGCCATGATTCTCAGTGGTTTGGCAGTTATGATGTAGTTTGGTAGTTATATGATAATGTGAACACCTTCATGATGAGATTTGATGTAATGGATAACCTCCATGATGGGATCTGCTGTGAGTAGCCAGTCAGTTGAAAGGGCATTTCCTTGGGGGTGTGGCCTGCATCAAATATAAGTGGACTTTCTGTCAGAGCTTGCAGGCTTTTGGTTGCTCCGGATACTGCAGATGGCTGCTGTTCATCTGACCTCCGGTTTTGGGATTTGAGCTAGCAACTTACCTGCTGTCTGACCTGCCAGTCTTGGGTTCATCAGCCCCTATGGCTACATGAATCCAGTAGCCTCCAGTCAGACCCGTGAACTTCTGATGTTCCGATCTCTACAACCATGTGAGCCATTTCCTTGATACAAATCTCTGTATACATTTATATGCTTTACTGCTTTTACTTCTCTAGAGAACCCAGCCAAAGACAATTATGTATTCATTCAACAAATGTTAATTTAGCACCTATTATATGCCAGTTTGGAGTCCCTGGGTGGTACAAATGATTAACATGCTTGGCTGTTAACCAAATAGTTGGCTGTTCCAGTCTACCCAGAGGAGCCTTGGAAGGAAGGTCTGAAAATCTGCTTCCAAAAAGTTAGCCATTGAAAACCCTATGGAGCACAGTTCTACTCTGACACACATGGGGTTGCCATGAGTTGGAAATGACTCTATGGCAACCAGTTTTTGGTTTTATATGCCAGTGATGTCTATCTGCTGGGGATAGAGCTCCTATCAATATAATGACTCTGTCATCTTGGAGCCTGCGTTCTAATGATAGAAGAAAATGAGACGTGGTGTGCTGTTTATTAAAGTGTGATTCAGAGAGGGCCTCTTTGAGATCAGTATTGTAATGAACACAGATTTGAATGAAGTAAGGCAGTGGGTTCTGAATATTCCAACCAGATGGTATACCCTGTGCTGTGAACCTGACGCTAGATTACTGTGTGCAGGAACAGTGATGAGCCAGGCTGGAAAGAGGTTAATGAGTTATGGAAAACACATAAGAGATGTTGTCAGAAGTAGCTGGTGCTAGGTTTGGCCTTACCACCATACACACAATAATTTTATTCTAATTGAGAAGCAACGCTTGAAAGGTTTTGCGCAAAGGAACACATGCTCTGATTCATGTATATCTCTGGCTGCTGCGCAGTGGAAATGCTGGCAGAGCGGTGGAGAAGGAGGTCAAGAGCAAAATCAGGGAGGTCAGTTAGCAGTAGTCAACATGAAGGATAGAGGTGACTTATACTAGCTTGGATATTGTGAAAGTCAGGTGATGTTTGGACTTTTGATATAATTTGAAGTTGTGTCCAAAACAGGATTTGCTATTGGATTGGATTGTGAATACTAGACAAAGAGAATAATCAAGGATGACCTCAAAGATTTTACCCCGCGGCACGGGATATATGGTGATACCGTTAACTAAGATGTGGAAAAATGGGGAGAAGCAGTTTTGGCAGAAATAAGTAAAAATATAAGTAAATCTAAGCAAATATTGTCTGTATAAAATAGAAGTAACGTTTGTTTTCTTGGTTTAAAAAGGACAAAAATAAAATATTGAAAAATGGTAGCATGTAAGTCAGTTACCAGTTGATCAGAATTGTGTTCTAAAATTCTTTTATTGTTTAGAAGAAATTCTTTTGTGTTAAATATGAATGGTAAAATTTAATGGGTAAAAGTGTATAACTTCCAAACTCTTAAAGGGGAGAAAATGAGGGGAAAACCACCCCCAAAACAATTACCAAATATATCAGATTGAGTTAGACCAAAAAAGGAAAATGAAAGAGAGGGGGAAAATAAGTAACAATTTGAACAAGTGGAAAGTATAAGTTAAACAAAGGAGACCAATCCAGATATTTTAGTAATTACAATACATTCAAAGTGACTAAATGCTCTTCTTAAAAGATTACTGTCAAAGTGCATTTTAGAAAGTCTAGCTGTGTGGGGTTTGAAAATCACACATGAAATGGAACATGAAACTTTGGAATGTAAAAGGAGTAATGATGTACAGTCAAATACTGAACAAAATAGATTCTCAGTATACCATCAGGGTCCCAGTGGCCCTAAATTTAGTTAAAAATTTTTTATTATTTCTTTATTGTTGGAAAGTGTATGTAACACAGCGTTTGCCAATTCAACATTTTTCAGGTGTACAACTTAGTGATATCATTTACATTATGTTGTACAACTGTCTCCCTTAATGGATGCCAGATCTCCCATCACCATAAACAGAAACTGACTGCTTCCCAAACAGTGGCTGTCTCTCTATCCCTCTCTCCCGCTCCTGGTAACCACTGATAAACTTTGGTCTCTACATTTGCCTATTGTTATTTCATATAAGTGATGTCATACAGTATTTGTCCTTTGTCATTTACTTATTTCACTCAGCAAAATGTTTTTAAGGTTCATCCATGTTATAGCATGTATCATGACTTCAGTTCTCTTTATGGTTGAATAGTATTCCATTGTATGTATATACTATATTTTTGTTTATCTATTAGTCTATTAATGGACATTTAGGTTTTTTCCACCTTTTGGCTGTTATGAACAGTGCTGCAGTGAACATTGATGTGCATGTTTCTGTGTGGATGCTTTCAAGTCCTTTGAGTATATCCCTAGCAGTGAAATTGCTGAGTCATATTTTGGAGCCCTGGTGGCACAGTGGTTAAGAGCTTAGCTGCTGACCAGCAGGTCAGCAGTTTGAATCCACCGCTGCTCCTTGGAAACCCTATGAGGAAGTTCTTTGTCCTGTAAGGTCACTGTGAGTTAGGATCGACTCAGTGGCAATGGGAATGATCAAATTTAGTTTTTGAGTTTCTTTTTGAAGTGGTTCTAACTAGTTGTAAGGACTGATATTTCATTTTTTTTTTTACAATTATAAGCTATAAGAAATTTGAATGATTAAAAAGAAAATTCACTTACATTTTTTATTCTGTCTTGCAATTACCATATGGGTCAATGGGTCCTATTTATAAATCTAAGAAACAGGATTGTAGTGATCTTATTTTTCCTAATTTTGAAGCATTTTGCTATTTTATCACCAAAATAGCTATTTTTGTCATTAAACCAGAAGAGTTTAATGCACATGGGAAATTGATCCTTTATACAAAGCACCCTAGCAATTATCTAAACATTACTCATTGATTATTTCCAACTATGTTAAATAGACTAAAATGGTAAGAAAATAGAAGCCTCATGGAATTACTTGGAAAGATAATGCAGTAGTGAAATAAATCATCACTATACTTTTACTTTTCAATTTACTGAGTTGCCCAAGTTAATGCATCAACTATGATGAAGGTGTAAAATAAGTCTGGAGACACCATCTTTGTAGTTTCTTTATTTCTGTTTAGCTCTAATTGAACATAGTTGAGAATTTAGAATTTTTAATTTTTATTGTTAATAGCAAATAGCAGAAATTGACAGGAGGAAGAGTTTTCATAGTTAATAGACAAATCAGAAGATGAATTCAAAGAGAGAAGGTAAAATACTCTAGATACTAATGATGATGGTGCAATTGATTGTGGAAGTGAAATCTCAGACTATTGAGTTTTAAATGAGGATATTCTAGATGAGTAAAGCTGTGTATCTGATCCTGTTACAAGAACAGGCTGAATGTGTACTTCCTTTGGATGTTAGTATTCCTTATGAATTCCAGCTGTAATGTAAATATAGCCCAACCAATAGAATTTTCCTTTGCACATGTGGAACTTAATGCTTTCTGAAATTTAATACGGTAGTAGTGTATAGAAAGAAAAGAGAAGGATGAAATTGGAAGCATGTACATTAGTGAGTGTCATGGTTTGAATTGTGTCCCCCCAAAAATGTGTGTATCAATTTGGCTAGGCCATGATTCCTGGTACTGTGTGATATTCCTATATGTTGTAAACCTGCCTCTATGATGTTAATGAGGGAGGATGGGTGGCAGTTGTGTTAGTAAGGCAGGACCTGATCTACAAGACTGGATTGTTTCCTGAGACAATCTCTTGAGATATAAAAGACAGAAGTGAGCAGTGAGACAGGGGGACCTCATACCATCAAGAAAGCAGTGCGCATCCTTTGGACCAGGGTCTCTGCGCCAAGAAGCTCCTAGTCTGGGGGAACATCGATGAGAAGGCTGACGGAGAGAAAAAGCCTTCCCCTGGAGGTGACACCCTGAATTTGGACTTTTAGCCTACTTTGACTGTGAGGAAATAGACTTCTCTTTGTTAAAACCATCCACTTGTGGTATTTCTGTTATGGCAGCACTAGATAACTAAGACAGTGAGGCTCTTGCTTCAGGAGATAAACCCTGATATATTTGTTCGAAATCTAAATGTTTGTTTGGTATCTGTCCTTACCATAATTATTTACTGTTTTTCTTGTGATTCTACTTACTACTTTCTGGACTGATCTTATTCTCTGTAAGGTTCCCTACCCCAGAATCAAAGAGTCATCCAAATGTCATTTACTTATTTATTGTTATTTCAAATTCTCTGTTTTTGAACATCACATTTACAAAATTCCTAATTATTGTGTTTTGTTGCCAGATTCCTGTCATTTTGTGCTACTGCAAGTTAGTTGTTTTTCCAAACCTTGAAGAGCAAGGAAGTATACCCTTTTGATTACTTCCACACGAAGAGACTGGACTATAATAAGACATTTGAATATATCTCTTTTTCATAGGAAATATGTTAACACTTATAAATTACGGTAAATTATTCTCATTTCTAGACTTCCACATACTTGATGACCAGATGGAGAAGAGCCAGGAAAACCAAGACCAGCATTTGTGCAAAATTGATTTCATCAACAACAAAACCCTAACTAAGGGCAGAAATAGTACATTAGGAAAAACATTTTGTCTGAACACAAACCCTGTTCCATCAAGAAAAATACCTGGTAAATATGATTTGTATGGAATGAGTTTGAATTATACTTCAGATTTAATTATTAATAGTAGAAACTCTTTTGTAAAGAAATCTGAAGCGTTTAATACACACGGGAAATTGCTTCTCTGTACAAATCACAGAAATCCTCATTCCAGAGAGAACTCTTTTGAATATGATTGGAATAGGAAAGCCATTAGGCAAAATGAGGACCTTTTACAACCTCAGGATATTCAATCTTTCAAACAACTTTTTGGTTATAATGAATGCGGGAAAACCTTCCATGAGGAGGCAGCCTTCATTAGCCATAACAGAGCATGCTTATGGGAGAAGCACTGTCAATATAATGAACCTGTGAAAAACTTTTCTGATAGACCAACATTCATTGTTCATCAGAGAACTCACACAAGGGAGAATCAGTATGAATTTAATGACTGTGGGAGGAGGTCTGTTGATGAGAAGTCAACTCTAATTAAACACCATGAAGTTCTCATGGGGGAGAAGCACTGTGAGTGTAACCAGAGTGAGAATAGTTTCCACAAAAAGACACTCCCCACTCACACTCAGAGAACTTATAAAGGAGAGAGAATCTTTGCCTGTAATGAAAATCGGGACGTATTCTGCAAAAAGCCAAACTTTACTCAGCATCAGCAAACACATAAAGGAAAAAAATCCTGTCAAATTAATCAATATGCTCACGCTTTTCGCCAGAAGCCAAATCATCCTACATATCAGAATACGGATGTAAGAGAAAAATTTTATCAGTGTAGTGAATGTGGAAAAACCCTTGGCCATAAATCCTCTTTCATCCTACATCAGAGAATACACAGAGGGGAGAAGCCCTATGAATGCACTGAATGTGGAAAAACTTTTGGATATAGGTCAGGCCTTGCAGTACATCAGAGAATACACACAGGGGAGAAGCCCTTTGAATGTAATGAATGTGGAAAAAATTTCTGTGAGAAGTCAAATCTCCGTGTACATCAGAGAACTCACACAGGGGAGAAACCCTATGAATGTAATGAATGTCAGAAAGCTTTCAGTGATAGGTCAGCTCTCACAGTACATCAGAGAGTACATACTGGGGAGAAACCTTATGAATGTAAAGAATGTGGGAAACACTTCTCCCAGAAGCCTAACTTCATTAATCATCAGAGAACTCACACAGGAGAGAAGCCCTATGAATGTAATGAATGTGGAAAATCTTTCTCTGTGAAGTCAAAACTTAGAGAACATCAGAGGACACACACAGGAGAGAAACCTCATAAATGTAATGAATGTGGGAAAACTTTCTACCACAAGTCATCCCTCACAGTACATCACAGAACCCACACAGGGGAGAAACCCTATGAATGTGATGAATGTGGGAAAACCTTCTACCAGAAGTCATCCCTCACAGCACATCAGAGAATACACATTAGGGAGAAACACTATGAGTATAATGAAACCTTTCACCAGAATCCTGACTTAATCAGAGAAACAACACTGAGAAGAAACACTTGTCAACATCCTGAAGGCTCAGAAACCTTCACGCTCTTGTCAGACTAATTGCTTAGCAGAAGAAACCCAGTGGGAGGAGGGAGGAGAGGAATCTAATAAATGAGAAAACTCTTTTGCCCAGAAGTGACATTTCATTGAACAACAAATAATTAATATTTAGGAAACCTTATTAATATTTTGAACATGTTACAGCATCAGTAAAAAGTTTAAACTACATCCTGTATCAGTGAGTTTGTACTGGATGTAACTATATCATTTTAGGATTTGTGAATTAAAATTTTTCCCTTACAATATACTAGAATTCTTGTTTCAGATATGATATCATTTTTATTGAAAGTATTCAGTAATGGACATAGTATGAATAGGAATCTTTTTAAAAAAACTAATGAGTTGAATAATTCCTGATATTACACAAAAATATGAAGAGTCCCTTTTGCAGGGTATGTATGAGTGTGCTATATATGAGAAATTTTGCATGTTAAGTTTGCTTATTGGAACTCAGCATTAGAATAGGAAATATACATGTTTGCTTAATAAGTATGACATGCATACAGTTTCTCACAATATCTGGGTATATTTTGCTTTAGTTGAAATTTTTATTGAGATAATTGTAGATTGTGAGATGTAAGAAATAATTCAGAGTGATCCTGTGTACCCTTTACCCAGTTTTCTCTAATAGTAACATCATCCAAAACTAGTATACGATATCACAAACTAAGAGAATAACATTGATAGAATGCATTGATAACGTTCACATTTTCCCAATTTTACTTATACTCATTTATGTGTATTCGGTTCTGTACAGTCTTATCACATGTGTAGGACTGTGTATCCACCACCATAGTCCAGATACAGAACATTTCCAGTACCAGAGGATTCTGTGTGTTTTCCTTTTATAACCACACCCACCTCCCTCCTGCATTCTCCTCATCTGTCTCTAACTCCTGGCAACTAGTAATGTGTTTTATGTTTCTAAAGTTTTGTTGTTTAATAAATGTTACATGAATGGAATCATACAGCGTGTAATCTTTGTTTAAATTATTTTTTATTGTGGTGAAAATAGACACAACGCATACACCATCACAGCAATTTCTACACATACAGTTCAGTGACAGTGATTACACTCTTCAAGTTGTGCATCCATTCTCCCCATCCTTTTCCAACCATTAAAATAATCTCAGTGTCCCCTACGCAAAAACTCTCCCTTTCTTCCATCCTCCCTCTCCTGGTAACCACTAATAATCTTTGATTTCTATATATTTGCTTATTTCATAAAAGTGAGATCATACAGTATTTGTCCTTTTGTGACTGACTTATTTCGCTCAGCATAATGTGTTCAGGGTTTATTCATGTTGTGGCATGCATTAGAACTTCATTTCTCTTTACGGCTGTATAATATTCCATTGTATGTATAAATCACATTTTTATCCATCTGTTGATGCACACTTTAGTTGTTTCCACCTTTTGGCTTTTGTGAAAAGTGCTGCAGTGAACATTGGTGTACTGGTTTCTGTTTTCATTATTTCACTTCTTCTGGGTATATACCTAGGACTGGGATTGCTGGATCAAATAATTCTATGTTCAGCTTTTTTGAGGAACTGCCAAACTATTTTCCACCATGGCTACACCATTTAACATTCCCACCAGCAATGGATGAGGCTTCCAGTTTCTCCACAACCTTGCCAACACTTGTTTTCTGTTCATTTTATCATTGCCATTTCAATAGGGGTGAGACGGTGTATCATTGTAGTTATGATTTGCATCTCTGTAATGGCTAATGACATTGAGCATCTTTTCATGTGCTCGTTGGCCATTTGAATATCCTCTGGTGAGATGTATGTTCAAGTGACTTGCCTGTTTTTTGATTGGGTTGTTTGTCTTTTGGTTGTTAAGTTGTAGAAGTTTTTAAAAAATATATGTATTTTGGATATTATATCCTTATCAGATATCTGGTTCCCAAAATTTTTCTCCCAACCTGTAAATTGTTTTTTTACTTTTTTGATAAAGTCCTTTGATAAGCAAAAGTATTTAATTTTTCTGAGGTCCCATTTATCTATTTTATCTCTTGTTCTTTGTACTTTTGTTGGCATATCTGAAAATATACAGAGAGCTTTTAAAACTCAACAATAAGAAAAACAGTCCAATTTAAAAGTGGGCAAAAGATCTGAGCAGAAGACATAAGCATATGAGCAAAAAAGTGGGCAAATAAGCCTATGAAAAGATGCTCACCATCATATGTCATTAGGGAATTACACATTGAAGCAACAATGAGATACTACTACACACCTAGTAGAATGGCTAAAATCCAAGGTACTGACGAGCAAATGCCGGTGAGGATGTGGAGCAGCAGTCACTCTCATTCATTGCTGGTGGGGTTGCAAATATGATACAGACTCTTTGGAAGAAAGTTGGACAGTTTCTTACAAAGGTAAACAGTCTTATTATATGATCCAGCAATTGCTCCCTAGAGTTGTAAGCATGTCCATACAAAAACCTGTAAAGGAATGTTTATAGCTACTCCATTCATAATTGCCATAAATCGGAAGCAACCAAGATGTCCTTGAATTGGTGAATGAATAAACAAACTGGTGTATTCATATAATGAAATATTTTTAAGCAATAAAAAGAAATGAACTATCAAGTCATGAAAAAACATGGAGGAACTTTAAATACATATTGCTAAATTGAAGGCAATCTGAAAAGGCTACATACTGTGATTCCAACTATATGACAATCTGGAAAAGGCACGGCTATAGAGACAGTAAAAACATCAGTGGTTGCCAGAGGTTTGGGGGTGAGGGCAGAAGGGGGAAGATGGAATAGGCGGAGCATAGAGCATTTTAAGGGCAGCAAAACTATTCTGTATGGTACTGTAATAGCAAACATATGAAATCATGCATTTGTTAAAACCAATAGGACTGTAGAACATGAAGCGTGAACCCTAATGTAAAAATGAAATTATTGAATAATAATGTATCAATATTGGTTCATCAGTTGTAACAAATGAACCACACCAATGCAAGATGTTAATAATAGGAGAAAATGGTAAAGGAAAGAGTTCTCTGTACTTTCTGCTCAGTTTTTCTGTAAAGCTAAAACTAAAAAATAAGGTCTTGTAATTAAAAAAAAAAGTAGTTGACTATTTAAAACAAGTGTAAGCCAACTACAGCCTGCTTGGCCAGTGTGGCTTGTGGTTGTCTTCTGTACGGCCCGTGAGCTAAGAATGGTTTTTACAGTTTTAAAGGCTTGTAAAAAAAAAAAAAGAATATGTAACAGAAACCACATTTGGCCCACAAAGCTTAAAGTATTTACTATCTGACTTTTTATAGGAAATGTTTGCAAAATCCCTTGTTTAAAGTAGAAGTAACAATGTATATGGGATTTATGGAACCCTGGTGGCGTAGTGGTTAAGAGCTCGGCTGCTAACCAAAAGGTCGTCATTCAAATCCACTAGCTGCTCCTTGGAAACCCTATGTGGCAGTTCTACTCTGTCCTGTAGGATCGCTATGAGTTGGAATTGTCTTGATGGCAACGGGTTTGGGTTTTGGTTATGGGACTTACGGGGCCCTGGTGGTGCAGTGGTTAAGAGTTTGGCTGCTAACAAAAAGGTCAGCAGTTGGAATCTACCAGTCTCTCCTTGGAGACCCTATGGGGCAGTTCTGCTCTGTCCTGTAGGGTCACTATGAGTTGGAATCAACTTTATGGCAACGGGTATGGGATTTATGATGTCTATAAGGAAAATATTTGACTACAAAATTATTAATAGGTCAAGCCTAATTTAAAGAAAACAACCGTCACCAGTAGCATTTATTGTATTTTACACAAAATAAAAAATGGTACTGGATTTTTGCAGTTAGCCTTCTCACTTATATATGGGGACTCGCTTAATGGTGAGTATAGTAGGCAGCCTCAGTGATGGCCCCCAATGATCCCCACCTCCTGGTGTTCATGTCTGTTATGGATTGAATTGTGTCCCCCCCAAGATATGTGTTGGAATCCTAATCCCTATACCTGTGAATGTAATCCTGTTTGGGAATAGGGATTTCACTGTTAATAAGGCCATATCAGTGTGGGGTATGTCACAAACCTAATCATTTGTGAGTTGTAAGGAGTAGCAATGACACAGACAAGGAAGCACAAATGGGAAAATAGATGGCCTCATGAAGATCACCAAGAAACTGAGAACTCAGAGGCAACAAGCTGAAACAATCTTTCCCGAGATCCAGCAGAGAGAGTCTTCCCCTATAGCCGGTGCCCTGAATTCAGACGCTAGCCCATGAAACTGTGAGAAAATAAATTTCTGTTCTTATAAAGCCACCCACTTGTGGTATTTGTGTTACAGCATCTCTAGAAAACTCAGACAATGCCGTTGTGTAATTCCCTCTCCATTGTGGGCTGCACTTAGTGACTCCTTCGAATGAATAGGGTACAGTGGAAGTGATGGGGTGTCACTCACAAGATTAGGTTACAAAACAACTGTGGGTTTTCTCCCCTCCTTTTCTCTCTCTCTGATCACTCTCACAGCGGGACGCAATGTGCCATGTTGTGACCAGCCCTATGGAGAGGGCACATGTTACAGTGAGGGCTGAGGCCCTTAGTCCGATAGCCTGCAAGGAATTTGAAGGCTGCCAGCAACCACACGAGTGACGAGTGAGCTTAGAAACATGCTTTAACTCCGGTACAGTTTTGAGATGATTGCAGCTCCTACACCCACAGGAGAGACAGAGGCACCCAGTTAAACTGCCTGTATTTCTGACCCACAGAAACTGTAAGGTAATAAACGATTGTTGTTTTAAGCTGTTACGTTTTGGGATAATTTGTTACACGACAATAGATAACTAATACACTGAGCCATTTCTGGGACAAGTGTCCCCTCCTCTGTTTCCTGAAGAGTGTGTAAGGTTGATGGTGTTTCTTTGTTTAATGTTCAGTGATTTCACTGGCGAAACCATGTGAACTGGAATATTCTTTGTGAAAATGTGTTTGGTAAAGAGTATAATTTCAGTAGTAGATATAGGGCTATCCTTCAATTTTGGTAAGTTTTCTTTCTCAAGAAATTTGTCTATCTCCTCTAGTTGAGGATTTTATTGGCATAAAGTTACCATAATCTGTTTTTATTCTTTTATTGTCTAAAACCTGTGCTAATATTCCTTCTTTCTTTCCTAATATCAAAATTTGTGAGTTCTCACTCTTCTTTTCCTAATAAATTTTGTTGGAGGTTTATCAATTTTATTAATCTTTTCAATGAGCCATCTTTGGGTTTTGTTAATTTTCTCTATTTGTTTTCCCTTGCATGATTTCTACTGTTACCTTTATTATTTTGTTTGTTCTACTTTCTTTGGAAGGAGCCCTCGTGGTGCAATGGTTAAGCCCTCGGCTGCTAACCGAAAGGTTAGCAGTTTGAACCTACCCAGCACTCTGGTGATCTGCTACTGTAAAAATCACAGCCAAGAAAACCCAGTGGGGCAGTTCTACTCTGTCACATGGGGTCACCATGAGTCAGAATCGAGTCAATGGCATCCAACAACAACACTTTCTTTTTTTTTTTTCCCAAAATTAACATTTTTATTAAATCAAGTTAAAAAATGTTCACTTTAGAAAAGTCAACAAGGGTTTTAACAAAACCAAAATATATCTTTTTATACAATATATGTATATATTGGCAGCAAACTACTTTTGAGATTTTATGTTCTTTCAGTTATTTTAAGGAAAGCATATACAGTGTATATTAGTATGGAATGTCAGCTAATCCACTTTTCATCCTTTATTCTGTGATTTGGGGCTTCTAGTACAAGATACTTTATGATTCTCATTAATGAATATTAAGAACAAACCGAGTTTTGACTAAAAAGTAATGAAACAGAGTGGCTGGTAGAATCTGTTTTACTACTTCCTAGTCAAACATTATCTTTGAGAATAACAAATGAGCACCAAATAAACAAGTGTGTGTGTGTGCGTGTGTGTGTGTGTGTGTGTGTGTATAAACTCAATTTTTAAGGTGTAACAGCAGCCAACTAGACCACTTAGCATTTGACTTATTTTCTTAAATTTGGTGATACACAAAATTTTAATCAAATCAGATAAACACTTCAATCCTATTTTGTCCATTTCTTAAATCCTTAATAGAAACTGTATGTAATCTTATAAACTGTATATATATATAATGTGCAGCTCTTTAGCTTCGAATTTCCAAACAGAAACGAAGCCAAACCTCTCATTTAGATAAATATTCAGAATATAATATCACCAACTGAAAATTTCTAATAAGTTTTATCTTAGCTAATCAGAAATA